CAAAAATATTCGTGTTGAAAATAAACGTATTTATTTTTGTTTGGTTTGAAAGCTATGCGAACAATAATAAATATGTTTATTTTAAACATGCTTCTCATGTTTAAAATAAACATACATATTTTGAAATTATTTTAGTAGTTGAGTGCAGAGTAAAGCAAAATAAAACGGTTAGCCAAGAAATGAAAAAAAAAAAGATATCTTAATTCCTGCTCTTTTTCGGGTGCGATTAAGGGTGAGCTGTGGGTATTGGGGTCCTGGTCTGGGATGCGATGACCCGTCAGGGTGGGTGTCCGTGGGTTCCAGATCAGTGGAACCGGCACAAATGTGTGTTAATAACATCGTTTTGCCGTTTCTGCCTCGGTTTCTGCCACTGGTCCTCATACCGGTTTCTTTCTATGTTCGGTGTCGGAGGAGAATCCGGAATGGATTCGGAATGGATGGCCGTTTTCTGTTGCAGTTGAGCAAAGCTGGGGCAACTTTTTACGAATGTAACAAGAAGGAAATAAAAAGGCATGACACGCTAAAAACCGTTTACCCAAATCTTATATTGTTGAAATAAATATGCTTTTGAATTTTATTCAAACATAAATATTTTAGTTTTAAACATGCTTTCAATTTACTTTTCAAATGTTTAGAGTATAAACATTTATATTTTTGTTTTAAATGAACAAAATTTGTATCCGTGGACAATGTTGAACCCTTATTCGGTGACGTGACTTCAAGCTATGATCCAGAAACTGATTGCGAAATCGATTCCAAAATCAATTCCGATACCTAATCTAAATCTGAATCCAATGATACCGTTTAAGAAAAAGGCAATGATAAGGAGAATGATCGCTAACGAACTCAAGGAATTGACGAGTGCACGGATGGATTTGAGTTCACTCACTCGACAAAAAGTGACACAACAGCGGGGCCCTGTTTACTAAAAATGAACACATGAATAATACTCACGTAACATTTGAAACGGGTCTATCAACTTATATACACAAAACTTGTTAGGCCTTTTTCGCGCGAACCGAATACGCTCACGTAAACTAACAACACCTTCGGGCAGAGGAAATTCTCCCCTTCCCAATAGTGCTCTTGGTTTGCGTGGGCGTACTTCGGTTCTCGTGAAAAGGACCTAGCAAATTATTTACAAAAGTTGATAGGCCCTTTTCAAATGTTACGCGAGCATTATTCATGTGTTCATTTTTAGTAAACAGGGCCCCGCTGTTGTGTCACTTTTTGCCGAGTAAGTGAACTCAAATCCATCCGTGCACTCGTCAATACATGCACTTTTTTGACAGGTCTGAAAGAGCCTAATTTTTGTTTTTATTTTTATACTTACGAATCAAACTCAACGCTACTTGCCATAGTCTGCATTATTTGAAATTTTTTCTAATCGATTTGTTGGGCATTTCCGAATAAGAAATTGTGTTTTTACCCTTCTTACAAAGAAGGGTATAGATATCACTTGAAAAACCAACTATCGATCCGAGGCCCGGAGGGCTGATTGTCATATACCATTCGACTCAGCTCGACGAGATCGGAACATGTCTGTGTGTGTGTGTACGTGTGTACGTGTGTACGTGTGTATGTGTGTATGTGTGTGTATGTAACGAAATGAATTCGCTCACGTTTCTCAGCAACCGCTCAATCGATTTGGACTAACTCGGCGCCAAATGATAGGTCTTGGGGTCCCATTGAACGCTATTGAACGGTTTTGAAATCGGTGAACCGGTTCCGGAGATATGGCCGGAATAAAATCCGGTGAATATGGGCCTTCACGCTGGATTTAACGGAAAACGTATCAAAACCATCAAAACCAAACGACACATCAAATTCCTACAGAATTCAAAAATAAGATCAATGCAAGTCGTGTTAAGTGTTCCAGACCACATTGGACACACTTGGACATGTTCCGGGTACCCCGGGGAAGTTGCTTGAATATGAATTGAATTAAAACCCATTAAATCACATTAAAATACGATGATAAGGTGATTGGTAGCCTCACCAAATAGACTACACCCGGATATATTCCGGGTACCCCCAGGCAGTGGCGTAGCGTCACTGGATGACACGGGGGTGGGGGGCTTGGTCACTGATAATGACAATAAAATAAATAAACTTGAATAAGTAAGAAGGGTCTGATCACACCATAGGTGGATAAATTCGGGTTTTTATGTCTAAGTCAGCTATACTATAAGCAAATCCATTTAAAATAATGTTTTTTGGGGAAATGGGGCCAAATAGGTCTGATATATGGTCCAATCGATTAGTTGGGCATTTTCGTATTAGAAATTATTTATTTTATGTCTGAATTAATGCGGCAGTCTCCAGAGCATCAGCAATTCTTTTAAAAATAAAGATTTTTTGAGAATTGGGTCAAAATGCTTTATTTTATTGGTCTGCACAGGTTAAGATTAGGTGTAGTTGGTTTTCATGGCTGTTCACCATATCATTCACGATATTCACTTAATATGGTAGCGCACTATTTCGACCTAATTGCCCATTTTGTGCTTATCGAAAAGAAAACATCAAATAAATCCATTATTTCATAGTTAACATGTTAGCATAGTTAACATAGTTAACAATTATGCGTTTGGTACGATACTTTAGTTCAAAATCTACCGAACGAAGTCAATGTTTAAATGTTTACACCATTTTTTCTTAAAAACAAAAGAATCGTTCAAACCTAATCAATTTTTTTCTTCATCCAATAGGCCAAAGTGAATTCAATGGCGTTTGAATGGCATTTCAATGCATTAGGCCGAGTTTAGAATCCGTAGGCTGAGTTTAGAATCCGTAGGCCGAGTTTGGGGTCAAGAAGCAGTGTTAGATTTTTAACAATATCTCTACAATTTATTTCTCTTTTCATTCCATTTTGTGAAAAAAAAAATCCACTCCAAAAATTTACTCAAAGGGCGCGTTGTGCTTAGCAGGCCTAAAATTAGATCCAAGCTTTAGCTGTAGTTCACCGGCAGTGCCATATTAAGTCAAACAACTACTAATTTTCACAGAAAATGGCAAAAATCGGGCAAAATGGGGCACTTTCAATAGTCTGCGAAAGACAAAACCAGTGGCATTCAATTCCTAGCTATCTCTTAATTTTTGAGTTCAGCGGCACGAAATAAGTGCGGTTCTGGACCAGTAATTCCATTGGTTGATGTAATAAAAGAAAATTGATCCGTTTCGAAAAAATAAACGGAGAAAATCAAGACTAGATCAACTCAAGTAAGAAAACTAAACAACAAGTAGGGGGTGATCTTCTGACACCATTAAAGTCGGATACATCTGAATATTGCGTTTAAATGATGATTTAATACACTTTTTCAAAGTTGGTTACATCAAATATATCATATTAACAATATGATCCATTCAAGCCTTTTCCAAATATTGCAATGGCGACCCGCAAAATATTGCTTCACGCACCATCTAGCGTTGAAAAAGGTCAGCAACAATCATTCAATAACAATCGAGGGGTGCGAATATAGCACTTATTACAAAAGTAAGAGTAGCATTATTTTTATTAATTACATTGTGTACAGTGTTGGGAAAATATCAAAAAATCAAATCTCACCAATGCCCAAGATCAAGCTTGATTTTCGTATACAAAAATCAGCAAGCATACAGCTGCGGTTGATTTTGCAAGCTGTGATATCGCAGCTCGGAATATTAAGCTAACGAAACTCACCGGCTGCAAATCTCAACAAACTGTGGTGAGATTGATAGCGAATTTGTTTTTGATTCAGTTCCAACCTGGATCGGGTATCAAGATTGGGTCTGCTTGTTGTCTATCAAACGTCAGTGTGAACGTTTGTTTTTGTAACCTGGCTCCGGTTGAGGTTCGCACTGACAATAAGCTCGGGTTGGCACGGGTTGGAACTGGTTCCAACCTGGATAATAAACAAATTCGCTATGAGTTTCATGATTTTTGCTTTAAACCCGAATGCAACCGAAACTTCCAAACGGCTGGCAGCAGTCACTTCGTCGTGTTACTGTTGTCATCAAATAACATAATATGCTGAAATACATTTATTTGAAATTTTAAACAAATTTGCATTTGGTTTACCCCTCGTGACGATAAACAAATACATTGGTAGCCTTTTTGTCAACAGAGGTGCTTTCATCGCTAAAAATTTGGTTAGCCAGCTAAGCGGAAGAGTGGATCATATTGTTAATATAATATATTTGGTTACATGTAATGCCAATGTTATATGCACAACTTATGAACCGTGGAACATTCATGTGAATAACGATAGTGTTGTGAAAATTTCAATTCAAACTGATGTCATTACTCACGTTAGTGTTACTTAAAAGATAGTATGAACTTGGACACTGTTTGATTTTTAATTTTTACTTAAAACTAACATAAAAACTACTTAACCTACTAAGGCTGTGTTCCATTTGGTGACACTTTGACACTTCGAAAATAAGTTATAATGATCGAAAATCCCTCTTTTGTTGATTTTCGAATAGGTGTTTGTTAAAAATTGATTCCTAGTCTGTCAGAAATAAGTCTACACACTTAGAAATAACTACTTTTACACGAGACGTAATCCATATTGGACGTAAATCATAGAACGTAAAGAAACATTTCATGTAAAATTAAGTGTTCTCAAACCGAAACATCAGCTAGTCGACAAAGAGAACGTTTGGTTGCATTGATTTTCACGTTTCTTTCAACTGATTCTTATGTCAAAAGGCCCGCTTACATGTGTCGGTCTCAGGGAACCGAAATTTACATTACTTTTTAGTAGTGTGTAGTATAATAGCAGGTTTATTTGAAAATTTTCTGTCTCAAATTTAAGTGAAAATTCGCCAAATGGAACACAGCCTAAATACCGTCAAACGGGGTAAGTTGCAATAATTTTCAACTATGAAAGCGAGTGACGAAATTTGAAACAAACTTCAAAGATGACCAGCAACAAGGCTTAATCACTTAACATTTATTATCAAATGCAACATCATAAAATGTAATTTGAGTCAAAAGTATTTGGGATCAATCAACTCACCTGTCATTCTCCTCGCAATAATCGGGTGATTCCGCAATATATACCAGATCAGACTTGTTAACCTTTTTATATTGCGAATCCTTTCGTTTCAATTTCTTGATGACACCTTTGTTTTCAACAGGCTGTAAAATGTATTTATAATTGCATTGATTGATACGAAACATCCTTAAATCATGTGCCGAAATCCAGATACATACTTTGACTAGAGCGGCAGCATCAAACATTGAACCGAGCGTATCGGCCATCAGTTTCATCGGTGGTAATCGACGCCAGCAAACGCGGGTCGTGCAGGAGCCGGACATCCCGTGGCATTTGCACACTTTCTGCATTCTAGCTCGCAATGTCTGTTTGGGAAGGAATCGTGTTAATTAAGTATTTTCTATTTAGCCATTCGTATGGTTAAGCCAGCAAAGAAAACAAAAAAAAAAGTTGTAAACTTACTTACTCTTCGAGCAGCTTCATTGTTGTGCAGATTCATCAACCCGAAACTCGAAGACCGGTCTTCCTGTGGGTCGACAAACTGTCGCGCCTGTTTGATGCCGTAGTTGACATCTTCGGAGCAGCCTCCCCATGTCCATTTGCTGTGCTTTTTGCGCTGTATGTGGTCACAGGTGCACATGGTCAGCTCGCCTTTAGTACAGTATCGGGTGATGGTCCATGCAAGAGAAGCCGAGTTTATTGCGCTCAGATAGGCCGTTTCGCGATTTCCTGCATTCAAGAATAATAACAATTATTTTCTGGATAATTCTTCAGATAATCTAAGCACCTTTCTCATCGAAATTTCCGTAGAAAATTTCAGATCCCCGCTTGACCGAACAGTTCCACCTGCTGTTCTGGAAGTAACCTTGGCATTCATATTTGGCAATATTTGCTGCATTAACAATGACCTGAAACGATGAAATGCATTAAATTCTCAATGATGAGTTTATTGCTATCTTGATTGAAATATACTGGGTCTATCCCTTACGGCAGGTCTGCACAATCTTTAAAAAAACTTGCTTTTCTAAATGGCTGTTTCTGTGTTCGATGAACGTGTTTCAAGCTGCATTTTGTGTCTTTCTCATTCATTTTGAGCTAACATTCTTATTAATTAATAAAATTGAACTTGAATGTTATCATTGCAGCGGTCCAGAGACCACGTCCGGCGGGCCGCACGTTGGGCAGCACTGCCTTAGGGTAACTAAGAAAACAGCTATCTTGAATTCAATGCGTTAAGGATCAAAGGTTCTCAATGAGTGTTAAATTATTGTATGATTAAACTTTTATTTTTGATGCTGAGTGATTATTATTAACCTAAATGTTCAGGACTAGGAATCGGTGGTAGATCTTACATCCCGTAACGTACCACGAAAAGGTGATCTACCCACGTTACGGGGCTCTTAATTAGACGGGGAAATATGCCCCATCTATCAACTAAAGGGTGGAACGGTCAAAAACTCAAATTTGGCGAATTTGAAACAACGTGCAAGGACAAAAACTCCCCAAACTCGCCGGAGCTGCACCCAATTGAAAAATATTGGGCAATCGTTAAGCGGAACCTCAAGAAAACTCAGAAACAGAAAATGAGAAACAATTCAAAGCAAATTGACGTTCAGCATCAAATAAGGTTGATATAACAGCGGTACAAAATCTGATGGAAGGTGTAAAACGTAAAGCCCGACACATCGCATTTGGAAATAACGAAGCCTAATCATTTCCTGTATTTTGTAGCCATTGAACTTCAAAAAGAAATAAAGTTTGATCATTTATACAATAACATAATCAATGTGCACTTAATCAAGATTGACCAATTTTTGACCGTTCCACCCTTTAATATGCTTCCATAACGAAGAGACTGTATATATGCTCTATTCTAAACGGATAGTACTCCGTGCAGAGAATGAAAACAAAATAAAAACTAAATTTTATATTTTGATATAAGTGTTCTGGCATAACTGCAGCACTCCACTCACACCTTTTTTGTTCCTACTCGTCGGTAATGGATAGGCAGTTTAGAGTTCAGTGCAGTTAATTTTTCCGAAGAATTAGGAAATTTTTGTAGAGGTAAGACGGAATTATTCTTCCCTAGGTTGAAATTAAATTATGCTGTGTGATTTAGGTTCTGCTCTGCTACAAAATTGTCCCGTCTGGCTCCAAGGAAGTGAATCAGAGTACCCGAGCAAAGTCTGAGATCAAATTTAAATCAAAATTTGATGTTGTGATTTCGCTGATAATGATTACTCAGGTTATTGTCGTTTTGGTCGTTTTAACGGTTAATATATCACAATTGAGAGCAAACAAATATTCCTGTGACATCACATTGAAAACTATTTCTGCTATCAGTGAGAGCAAACTAAAAACTTAATTTGATATCCATTTTTCCTGTTGATAGCAAAACAAGTATTCAATTTGATGTTATGCTAAGGCAATGAAAACAATCCCGCAACAACATATTTCTGAAGAGCAAATGTACAGCAAAATGAAAACAAAATTAGGTATCAAATTTGTCAATTGCGTAAACTGAAATCAAATAAGGATTTCAGTTTGATGTTGATATCAAAACTTGATTTCAATTTGCTGTCATTTTGATGCTGTACTTTGCTCGGGTAGCTTTACTAAGGAGAAGACTAATGTAAGTTAGCTTTTATATTGTTTTGCATTGTTTATTACAAATGATTAATTACAGCTTTGAGGTTTTGTCTAATCGGGAAACGGTGTCTGCTGCAGAGATTTTTCTCTTTAAACCTTCCGAACAATAAGCATTCGTGATAGCAAATTTTGCCGTGTGGTCGAGTTAACAGTAATCATAACAAAAATGAGATTTAAATGGTGTATGCAGGATTTTAAAAATATAACAAATCATGTTTTCTTGATAACAAATCCATGTATGCGTTTTGATATTAGTAATTTCGGTAATAATTAACAAATTAAGTAATCAATATGTTATTATAACTTTGGTAGGAAAACAATAAGAAAATTAGTAAAAAGTAGCTTTAAGCATACATAGATATAACTTAATGTACCAGAACCTCGACGGTCACTTGAGCCTATCCAGGGGAGGACCCGGATCCGACCACCCATGTGAGTCTAGAGTATCACACAAGCTGATGAGTGGAACGGGAAGGACGGCTGGTGCGTATACCTGGGGGTTGGTCCCTAAATACGCCCACTTTGCGAAAGACACGGGATATGCACTCAATTACAATTACAAAAACATAGTGAAATCATAATGGATATGAACAAAGCATTTTATATTTCCTATTTTATTATTAACCTGGACCGAACTTTTAATAAAATTTTCCCAACTTTTAACAAAATCATGGATTATCAAAGTGCTTTTAAATTATTTTTTGAAGATTTAAAGTCAACCCTCCCTACTCGATCCTTTCCTAGCTCGATGGAAATGCAGGGGCCTCATTGCGCATCTCGAAACGAAAGACATTTTGTTCGAACGCTTGTATGAAAAAGTTTTTCGTTTGGAGATGCGCAATGCGGCCCGAGGTCCCAGTCTATTTTGACTTCTTTGTTCATATAAATTTCCAAAATTCTCGCACAACATTCCAAAATGTGAACAAACCAGAAAATTATTTTTAAATTGTTTCGCCGCATAATTCATATAAAAGGAAATTCAAGTATTTTAGGCATTTATATTGTTCAGAATAAAGAGATGAACTAGCCTTCGGCTAAAAATCTCTATAATAAAGATTTAAAAAAAAATTGTTCAGAATAACGATAGTAACTGTATCTCAGTACACAACATTCAAAATATGCGATAATAATTTAATTTCACATTTTCCTTTTTGTGAATCTTTCAATGGTTATGCCCTTTTAGTTAAGCCCTTGTTCTTGTCATCAAAAATGGTAGGGACACCAACCGCGAAGCAGCAGTAGGGCCTAGCTTTGATTAGAAAATGTTCAATCATCGGCCCTACAACACTAGACATATCAATGGAATAAAACAAATCAAGCATAACTTTTCAAAAGGACGTAAGTCGCAAAAATAAAGAAATCGATATTTTGCATCTAACCGAATATAAAATACATGCTTTTCCTACGAGTTAATGAAAAACAAGGTTTGAAACTGTTATGCATTATGGAAAATATATTTAATGAACGCCCTATGTAACCTTCTTCCATTGTTTTTAAAATGGTGTTGATACACCCTTTTATTGTCAACATGACTTAACTGCTAAAATTTGATGATAACACAAAACCTGCAGATACGCTCACAGTGAAGCGTCGTATGTGAAAAAACAAAGCAACCACTATCAATCAGCAGATGCGTCAAGTTGTTTCTAAGTAGATAAAAAATGGATTTCAACGGGATTCAGCTACTGCTAGGTATGTTGGGATATTTGGAAGAAGTGGAAACAGTTCCGCAAGACGGATTGCCTCCAAGCCTAGATCCAAACGTGCACGATGATGCTTCTCCTCTTCAGAATAATGACAACACTTTACGACAATCGGTTGATGATATCCGAGCCGCTTTACAAACTGATGGTGAGTGCTTCTGAAACCCGTGTTCAGATTCACGCAAAATTCCTGATTGCTTTACTTTGTTAAATCTTGATTAGAGTTTTGAAAACATTATCTTTTGTTTGCCTGCACGGGAAAAAAAGAGTTCCCATATTCGTGAACCACAGCCGTGAACCATAGTTCACGGTGTATATTTGAGACAATTTTGTTCTGGATAGCTGGCCGTGATTTTTAGTTCACGCCCGTAAAAAAAAGAACCACAGAGGCACAATGAAATGTATTGTAACCATACAATAGAATTTATTGTATTTACAATAAATCATATTGTCTACAACGATAAAATAACCATAGAATGTATTGTTTTCACTATAGAATCTATAGTAAATGGGTAAATCTACAATAGAACAAGGGGGTTGTTAAGTATCTTAACCATAGGAAAAATTACTTTTTCCCGAACAAAGATAAACCATTTACCATTAATTGTATTGTTGTTCTATTGTTGAAAATTATTACTATATGGGACGTATTGTAAATCGATTGTAATGACAATATGGTAAAATTTCTTGTACAATATGCGTACAATAAGATCGATTGTTGGCAATAGATTTTGATGTAATTGTATTTTATTCTATGGTAATTGTATTGTTATTTTTTTCCGGGCGGTCCATTCCCGTTTTCGGGAACGGATTTTTTTCCGAGTGTGATTTATCTTGTGATCAAAACATTCACTTAATAGCATTCTGCCTGGTAACATTCATGCACTCTTTTTTTTCTACATTCCCAGCAGGTGTCAAAATATATTCAGCTTCAGTTATTCTAGTAGTTCTAGTAGTGATTTTTTGTATAACGTTCCACTCGAGCACAGAAATACTACCAACGAAAGGAATCAAACGGCCAGAGATGTCACAAAGCTACTCTGTCCCAGATAAGTCATTTTCCTCTTCTGCTCTTCCCATTATCTTCTTTCCATTCTGATGATGATGCTTCGTGGTAACCCGATACTGGTTGTAGGTTTAATCATGTAGGATTACATCCGATTACGATGAAGTCTCTGTTTGAATCCTGCAGCGGGGAGCAACATATTTATTATTTCAAAGGTATTCTAACAAAATTGCACTTTAATCTTGACTTTATTACTGAACTTCACATACCAATCTAACCAGCGCTTTCTTAATACGAAAAACGCAAAACGTATAACATCTCACAGCAGATAATGCGATGACCCTCTCATATCCGCTTTTCACATCGATTATTTCACAACTCTGGGTAGTTATGTAAATAAACCAACCAACCGACAATTCCTCAATGCTTTTCGAGCTGCCGACGTATCTTCATAGCAAAACAAAAACCGGTGTATCTGATTTGACGTATGTGAAAACCCTTCTGTCAAATAGACGAATCATGTAACAATCAAGGTGTGATACCGACGAATCAATCAGGGTGTATGTGAGTAGTACAAAAGTAAAAGGTGTATGATTTTGTTTTATCAAAAGTCTTGTCCGTGTTTGCAAAACTCGACATTTTCACAATTCTCTTAAACGCAATCCCTTTATCCAACTAATAACACAAACAGATTTCAAAAAATAGCATTAACTTTTAAATAGCATTTAATAATCTCATATAGACATTGCTATCCAATGTTTCTAATTTTCTATCCAATGTTACATACGTCCTTTTGAAAAATTATGCTTGAAATATATGTTAGGCCGTTTTATCGTGTGAACCTATGAATGATTAAAAAAAAATGTCGTTGATATAAACAATTGGTAGTAACCGGTGCTATAGAATGGTATCAAAAAACGATTTGTTTACATTTTGGACATAGGCCCTTTTCAATTGTTACGCCTGTTATAACCTCGTAACTCGATATCCTTCCTAGCTCGATGTTCCCTTCAATGTAGAGTTAGGTAGAGTTAACTATATTATTTTTTTAATTGTTAAACAATGTTTCTGAATGTTTATATTTCCGTTCATTGAGATTTTATATTTTTGTATCACTTGCTTGTTTTACCAAAATTCATTTGGAAAATTGGTAATAATTTTGCATCATGCCACCGTGATATTTGGAAAAAAAGAAATTTAGCATTACTTTTTAACCAGTTATATGAAGGGGTTTATTAAATCAAAATCATAAGTATAGCTGTGCTTAGACGGTTCATGTTAGTTTTCATGATAGGCAAATTCAATCGAATCAGGCATGAGCCAAACAATTTGGACGTGGACCAAATTAGGTTTTAGTTTCAAATATTTTTTTCATAACAGTCACTGACTTTTTCTTCGACTCCGACTCCTTATACTCAAAAATATGCCGACTCTACAGCACTGGTAAAAACTCTTTGAATTCGCTCCTTTGGCGTGCCGCCGTTGGCAGGGACCGGTTCCACCGACCCCTCACTACGGTACTGTATAGTAGAAAAGCATTTTGCCAATACAGGTTTGTGTAGTATTTACGGTACATGTTGTTATAGAAGAAGACTTACGGACGGATGTTTATAAATATTGAACCAATATACATTACCTTCAGCAGTTCCGGGTTGTTGTAGCAGATTTCCCTTTGATGTTGTGTAAAAAATGTGTTTTCACTGCAGATATCGAAGCTTCGGTTGTCTCGATGGAAATGTTTTACATCCAGCGAAAGGTCCGCCACTTGCCACCAACTGCCGCTGGTAAACCCATTGAAGTATATTAGCACAATCAGCAGCAGCAGGATTGACTTTCGTTGCACTGCATTACTGCTGAAATGACCAACGTTGCCACCTCGTGTTGGTGGCCAGCTGCGGAACGCCGGGAATATGTTCGATAGTCGGAAGCAAAAGAATCTCTTATGCTTCACCATTTTCCACTCGTGCTACTCATCGGATATTAATGATGTGCCATCTCAGCAAAGGATCTGTAATTGTGATGGAAAAAAGGAGCAAAAGGATTTTTTCGATTAGAGTTTGGAAAATTCGACCGAATCTCATTTTAGCGGGAAAAGCTGTCACAAAATTTTAATATTCCAGAATCAATTTATTCGCATGACATGATATGCAATAAGGAAGCATGTGTCACTGCGGTTTTCACTTGTGAGAGAAATCGAATTGCCAGTGTCGGTCAGCTCATGCGAATGAAATCGAAAAAATCATTTCATTTTATTACTTCTTACCATCGGAGGAACAGATGTGGTACTCATAAAAACATGAAAGTCATTTCGGCCAGTCAGTGATCAAAGCGACCTAATGGATTTAGATATTCATATGAAACGGACGCCCATGTCCTGATGAGGATTTCAATATTTGATAGAATTTTATAAATGTGTTTGGATTGACTTAACCTGTGCATACACTAGTGGATAATAATATAAGGACACTTTAAAAACCGTGGCTCCTCCCAAATATTAGATTCAGAGAAATTCTATATCATGTGTGTTTGGAAGCCACATTATGTATCATGTTACAATATGAATACGCAGAAACTAGTTCGCAAAACGCCTAAATGTATGTATCTCCTATGTGATCATTGCTGCTCATCCAATGATTTTTGTGATGTTCGAGAACTTCTAGCTATTGGATTTGCTTATAACTTTTCAGAAATGAAGTTTAATGATTATTTGAACTAACTCTTTGATTATTTTGGTGCCACAATAATTGTTGACATACCAAATAATGTTCCGAAAATGACCAATTTCCCATACATTTTTGTATGGCGTCCTTATGTTTATTTCCGAAGGAGAAAATCACATTTCCATTTATGAAATTGTTTCTTTTTTATGCTCGTATTGTAGCATGATAATGTGGCTTCCAAACGTATATTAGATTTAGAATTTCTATGAATCATAAAATTGGGAGGAGCCATGGTTTTTAAAGCGGCACTTCGTCATTAGACGGCAACTTAATCAGAAAATTACATTTCAATGCACATTTTTTTGAAAAAGCTATTCTTCAGAAAGAAACCCTTCCTCCCAAAACATGACCCAACCCATGTTTGACTTTAAACCATTGTTACTATCTAATAAAAGAGCGTTTTTGACAAGTTCTGGTGGTTTAATATTGTTTGCCAGCTATAATCGAAAAATACCCCATTGTGCAACGGCTGCAGCTGAACGTGATATTTTTTTTCATTCACGATGACCTTTTGAAAGACCTTCAGCGCAATGGTGTGCTATCGTTCGGAAGGAGCTCGCAAGACTCAAGATGGTGGAAGGAACGTTGTTCAAGGAATATTTAAAGATCTTTGATGATCTCGTTCGACAACTCAAGTCTGCTGGTGCAACGCTTGAGAAAGGAGACATGGTCTCGCAGCTTGTGACCCTGCCGTCAAGCAGCAAAGCTGAAGCCAGAACATCGGGTTGGAAAACAAAGCTGTTGCTCTCATGTTTGGTAAGAATATAAATATGGTCTGTGAATGCTAGCCACAGTAAAGTTACGTTCAAGCTTGATTCCGGAGCTAGTCATCACTTGGCTAATAGTAAGAAGGGTTTTATGTCACTGGAGAAGCTCAGACAATCCATGGTGATTAATGTGGCGTAGAACGGCCAATATATTAATACTTGGCATGAAGGATCGATTATCGGAGTCAATCGTCAAGGTGTGTTCGGGTCTGCATGCCTATTTGTCAAGAGGATGGCCAATGATGCTATGAAGATGAGTCTCGGACAAACTATTGAAATGAAGCATGCAACTAGGTGATAGAGATCTGAATATTGAGAGGTGACTTCTACGAGCTGGGCGTGTTCTATTCCAAGATTCATTAAATCTGTGTGCTGCTCAAGACGTAAAACTTTGGTACCGTACAATCGGCAATACAATTAGCAAGCAACAACTGCTCTGTCTGAAAAATTCTTGGTTTCCAGAGTGCCATTGTATATTTCTGCTCCTCGACAATTGTGGTCTGAAGGGGTCTTCCAACCACTCGTTTACGGCAAGTATGAACTCGTCCATGTGAATTCAACTGTTGATCCGCCGCTTGGTTTCAGTTCATCTTCGCTTATGGCCACCACTTCGAGCCTTTCGCTGTCTGATAGTTCACCGTTCTCTCGTTCGGATCCTGGACAAGTTACCATTGACACGGCTCGCACCGAACCCTCTAGCGGTTTACGAGTCTACTATCAGAACACCAGGCGGCTCATGACTAAATTGGACGATGTTTATCTGGCTGCGCTTGACGGGGAATATGACGTTTTTGTATTCACGGAAACTTGGCTCGATGGGAGGATCAATTCAATGCAACTGTTTGGTGACTCTTTTACTGTCTACAGATTAGACCGTAATTCATCCAACAGCATTCGTACTCGCGGTGGTGGTGTCCTCATCGCTGTTTCTAACGCATTCGCCTCCTGCGTAATCGCCGACGAACTATTTACTACAATTGAAGCGTTTGGGTTAAGGTCATCCCACTTCGGGGAACATCCTCATTGCAGTGGTGTATATTCCACCTGAACGTCGACTTCATCTGGATGCTACAGAATTTGCATCGTCCATGGCTGATATAACGGATGTGCTTCTTCTGCTTGGTGATTTTAATCAGCCTGGGCTTATCTGATCGCCCTCAGGCCAGGGTTATGCGTTTCCAGATCCGATTGCATCTTCAACTACTCCTGCTTGTTGACGGCACGGCTTTTCATGCGCTGAGCCAGATAAACCTTGTTCCCAATTTCCAGTCTCGTTTTCTTGACTTGGTTTTTGTTAGCGAAAGGGCACTTCTGGACTGTGTCGTCGCTGAAGCGCCTGACGTCATCACGACAATTTCCACCCTGGATATATCTATCGCGAACGGATCTCAAATTCGTTTTGATGAAACCATGAATGCCACTCGGCTCAATTTCCGGAAGACCGATTTCCGTTTGCTGAGGCGTTCCTTGTCCCGGATCAACTGGAACGTGTTGAATAACCTTGATATCGATACAGCAGCCACTCGCTATAATAGCCTTTTGCGCGACTGTGTTTGTGCTTCAGTACCGAAGTGCCTACCTCCAAGAATACCGCCTTGGTCTAACGCTACTCTCCGCAACCTGAAACGAGTGCGATCTACAGCTCTCCGTGGTCTCACTCATCGACGATGTACCCTTACCAAACGAAATTTTTCAATTGTCAGCAATAATTATCGCCACTACAACAAGCTTCTTTACAAGAGGTATGTAATTCGTACTCAACAAAATCTGCAATGCCACCCCAAAGGATTCTGGTCGTTTGTGAATACGAAGAGGAAGGAAACTGGGCTGCCGTCCAAAATATTTCTCGGTAATGACGTAGCATTGACAACTGAGAACAAATGCAGCCTATTTGCTAGGCACTTCTTAAGCGTCTTCTCGAATGACTCCACATCGCAAGTAGACATTGAGCGAGCCGTCCGTGATGTGCCAACCGACGTCGTAAACATGGATGTTTTTGCTGTAGATGTACACATGGTTCTCTCTGTGATGAGTAAATCCAAATCATCATTTTCACCAGGTCCGAGTGTTATTCCATCTGCTGTCCTAAAATCATGTCCTCCGATATCTTAGCTGCTCCGTTGTCCTTGCTCTTCAACCTGTCACTTTGTCATCAGAAATTTCCCGCACTATGGAAACGCTCTACTATGTTCCCTGTTTTCAAGAAAGGAGACAAACGTAATGTGAAAAACTACCGTGGGATTACCTCACTTGGGGTTGAATCTTAGTTGTTTGAGTCGCTGATAAATGAGAGATTGTTTGCTTCCTGCAAGCATTACATAAGTACATGTCAACATGGTTTCTTTCCTGGATGCTCCGTGGAAACTAATCTCGTCAGCTTTACGTCGTTCTGTATGGAAAATGTATGCAAGAAACTTCAAGTGGATGCCATCTACACTGATCTTAAAGCTACGTCTGATAGAGTTGTGCACGACGTTCTGCTATCAAAGCTTGAAAAAAGTTGAAAGGGTTGTATACTAGATACGACCGCAGGGTTGGCGTTGGATAACGTCTGTTATGTGTTGTACTTAATTGTGTATATTATATTTTAGGAATATTCCTTAATAACTCTTTTGCGAAAGTTTGGTGGCCCTGAAAAGGGCCGTTTTGTTGGGCTGATGTTGTTGACAATGATGGAACGGGCGACCTTGTTGGACGCTTATATAGTAGAACAAAAAATATCAGAGGTGTCAGATACTCGCATACGTACGTTAAACTCTTTCTTGATAATGTTGTGGCCCTGAAAAGGGCCATGTTTCCAACGCGCTCGGCGTAGTTGCCCTTCCGGAGCAGACGGTGAATACGATCGACTGAGAACTGCAGCAGCTGGGCATTCCATGACGGCGGCCCAGTATACCGGAGCACTGGCACCAACGCACTTGGCGTAGTTGCCCTAACGCCCCCAGGCTCTGCTGCCGCTGCTCTGCTTCCGCTGCTCTGGTACTGCTTCTCTGCTGCTCTGCTGCTGGGTCGACGATCGGATAGACAATGATGGAACGGGCGACCTTGTTGGACGCTTATATAGTAGAACAAAAAATATCAGAGGTGTCAGATTCTCGCATCTGATGTCTCGGTTGGAGAAAGTATAAGAATATAAAAAAAATCAATCGATTTTCACCATCTTTAGACAATGGTTTACTTTTAACCATTTTTCAATAGTTTACAGAATGAAATAAATAGTTTTGAAACATTCAGCAAATTGCTAGAAATATTTCCAATCGATTGATGCCATTATCTCGTAAATTTATCGAGAGACGGTTGAGTTATTATCGTTCAAAATCTTTTAATTTTTCGTAACGCATCCAAAATGACTGTTTTCAATTTTGTACCCCCGTATGTTGCCGAAAGACGTTATCCAACGTCAAAATGGGATGTTCTGTTTCCTACTGCAGCTGGCTTAGATCGTACCTCGTGCAACGTGTAGTTACTGTATGCATTGGAAACTACTCATCGTACTGTTTCTCGAACAGATCAGGAGTTCC